CAGCCATGCTGGCTGGGGAATTCTTGGAGTTGAAATCCACTCATCTTAAAGTGGCCAAGTTTGGACAACACTGGGCTAGAGGATTTCAGTATTCTAGGCAAAACCATAACATGAGTTGTCATAACCTTCCCCACAGTTCCTTTGGCCAGAAGGCTGACCGAGGAACAACTATTCAATGTCCCCACATGCTTGAACTTCCTCTCAGCAGAGTTGCTACAGAGATCCTGGAAGGGCTGCCCACGTGAGAAATCCAGACATTCACAGCTAAAGCCATGTGCTTATTATAAACTTCTGCATTACCTCTTTTAGAGTCTTCACACTTTCATGGATCGGGCACGGTAAGCCTACTAAGGTATCCGTGTCTCTGCAAGGGCAAACAGGAGAGGCGGGGAAGAAGAACAAGAGAAAGAGGGGTTAAGAACCGAATAAATTTTTTCCTCTTCCCGTTTTGGATGTTTTGGGCGTCTCCATTTTAACAAGGCCGCCTTTGCAAGAACTGCTTATTCCCAACTCTCTCCGTTCCACTTTTATCATGCCGTACTTCCACACACACAATGGAAAACCTACCAGGGAAAGTAAAATGACAGCATATTGCACATATAAATATTTCACATGCTTAATATGGGATTTCCAGCAGTGCAATCTGTGAGCATCCATGATGGCGTAACCTCTCCAGAGCCCAGGGCCTCTGGAGATCTTCCCCAACTTGGAATTTGACAAGTGTGCTAGAATCACAGCATCTAGAACTGGAAGGGGCCGCTGAGGGCAGCCCCCACATTCAGACACCTTTAATAAATGGCTGCACGGCGTCCCCTTGAACACATCCAGTTAAGGAAAACCAAGGACGTTGTGGCTGGATGGAGCTGATGCGATCTCAGAAAAAGAGCAGTGAGGAGAGACAATGCATGAAGCAGAGGATGGAAATGGTAGAACGGGAGCAAGTTATGGACAGGAAGAGTGAAGGACGCTGCTGTAAACCCGTTCTAGCTATTGTTTATTTTGTTTTGTCTTCTCTCCTGCCTTTAATTTCTTTGGCTTACTATTCATAACTCCATTTCTGCAATCTCCAGAACGTTACTTACCAAAGGGAACAGTGTGATGGGCATGTATGTAACATGGCCCTATCTGGAGAGTATTAGTTCCAAGAAGGGTGTTTTACACCTATATAAATCCAGGGATGAACCCTCACATATAACATCCTGCTGTGAAAATTGCACAGCCCTGGACCCCCAATGTCTGCAGAATCTGTTCAAGGGTAGGATGACAAGCCAGAGACTTTTCCATCTAGCCAGCAATGCATTCAACATCTGACACATGACTTAAACCTTTTTGCTTAGGAGGTAAAAATTAGCCCCGAGGGCTCCAGTCTCTTCCCAAATACATCATACTCACTGCCCAAGTGTGAATCCGATGAATTTGTTTCTGCTCGCCTCCAGGAAATGTTCTATGTCCTTCTGTCTGGAAGATACAAAGTGATTGTGTCATGGAGAACGAGGGAGAGAAAATAAACCGGATAAAAGCGCAAACATTTTGAGAAACCTTTTCAGCATCAAGGCCATTCAAGATTAGCCATATCATCTTCAGCCCATTTGAGGTCAGACAGACCACATCCAGATGAAAAGATTTATTCTGAATATTGGCTACAGGGCAGTTTGCAAGGGCAACCTTCTTGGTGCCACTACTCTTACGCAGCTGCAAGTAAGTGTGTAACTTGAGGACTTCCACATTCTCTTGGATTTCAACAACTTGGCTATCAGTTTTATTTAATCTTGTTGGAAAATTCTGTGGGGTCTAATTTTTTTGCCATAACTGTCAGTCTCACACCATTATTTTCAGCCGATTTTTTTCACGATGCAGTCCTAGCTTGAACTTAACAATGAAGCCAGTAGTTACAGCAACTCACACACCCATGCACACTCACACTCTCTCTTTTGGTTCACAGCTTGGTGGTGGGTACAACTGCAAGACTATTTCAAAGTTATCCAAAGTCATGTTAACATCCCAAATTAGAATGTATTATCACATCTCTTTTCGCTACTGGAAAAACAGTCTCTCCCCAAAGCTTTTCTTTGCAAACAACCAGGCTTGGAAGAATGTATGGATCAAAAGCTCAGCTCAGCTAAATTAAGAAACTAGAATCAGAGAGCACCCTCAAAACTCGCAATCCAGCAATTACTGGCCCCACCATCAACAGAAGTGTGACTGGAAGTGACGGGGAAGGGGCTCTCTCAGAAGCAGCATAAAAACTCTGCTGCTCCCTCCCACTGGAAGGAGACCTGGAGATTCATTTGGCTCCTATATTACTTGTGCTCTTTTCAGGAGAACATTAAGACTACTTAATTTTAGCGAGCCTTGGACCTGCCCCAGCAGCCTTTTCAAACACAGGAAGGTTTGTTTATTTCATATTTGCCTTTCTTCCCTGCATTTGTGTGTGCCTACTCCATTTGTAGTTTTTAAAGTTTAGGAGTGACCTTGAAGGCCTACCATAGATTGACAAAGGGAGTATGAATACATAAAAGATAAGCTTGTTAGGTCCTTAATTCTATTTAGAGGCTGTTGCTCTGAGATCTTGAAAAGAACTGAGTACCCTGTTACAAAAGACTCAGAAACAGCCTTTGTGAACCTGATACCTTCTAGATAGCTTAATAACAATTCATATCAGGTGGGAGGTGCCATTCAGCACTTCCAGGGAGCGCCAGAGATGGCTGGAGAACTCCTGGTTGGTGGGGGCTCTTTAAACCTTTATCTAGATCTACTGGCAAGACCAAGATGGTGAAAAAGGAGAGTTTAGGACACTGTAAAGGGTTAAGTGGCCCCTGCAGAATTTATTACCATAAGAAACCCAATCTCCTCCATGTTTTGATGGCCTTCTACTGAATCTGGATCGATATGGGTGCTCCACCACCTCATTTTCCTGCATATATTGACCAGGTCCAAGGAGGGCCCTTCAGTGCTAGAAGAAGGCATAGGGGACAAAATACCTGACTTTGGGGGCCCACGGAAGGCCCTTTGGGAAGGAGACCTTCTCAGCAGGTGGGCATGGAACTGACACAGCCTGGATGATAGCGCCCCTTTCCAAGAGGTCCAGTTCCCCTTCAATCCCACTATCAATGTCATCGGCCTCCTCCTCATCCACCACGGCCTCATCATTCTTGAACGGGTCCCTCTCATTGTAAATATCTAGGCTGTCTTGCTTCATCAGAGGCTGCACAAAAGAGAGTGAGAGAGGAATAAAAATGGCAAGAACGTTGTCTTCCTGTAGGAAGTCTTTTGCCCTGGGCCTCCTCGCATTATTCACCAGAAGGGCCACAACTGCTTTTTTGGAAGAAGATAACATGCCAGTGGGACTGGAAAGGCGAGGGACAGAGCTCAGTCAACACTCAAAACCTGAAGGCTGCGCCTTCTCTTCTCCCCCTACTTTGGACTTTGTGTGTGTAGAAAGAATGGGAGAGGCAAGGCTAGCTTGAAAGCATACGATTCCCAGTTCCTAGGGGTGGAGGCCCTTGGGAAGATACCTCTGCTTTAGACAGAAGTTCCCCCTCCTTCTCCCTTTCCCTGCAATCTTTATGATCAATAAAAACCTCACCTCCCCCGCCGTACAGCCCACTTCTCAAATTTGCGTGACTTTACTGATAGGCATGACGTCCCACATCTGGCGGGCAGGGACTTTCGGAAGTTGACTTAATCATCAAGAAAGGGACGATGAATGGAAGGACACGAAGGGAAGCCTTTCTTGCATTTGTCCTCTGTGACCCCAGGTAAAGTAACATGCTCCCTCCTGATAATGCCCACCCTCCTACTCCGATGTCCCCGTTTCTGCTGCTGCTGCTGCTGCTGTTCGACCAACTCAGTGGTGTAGGCTGGAGGAGAGGCAGCCCGCATGTTCCGCATGACCTGGATGCTGTCTTCTGGCAAGGGTGGCAGACCCAGCTCCTGACGCTTCTTCACCTTCATCGCTTGGAGGGTATCAAAGCCGCCCAGAGTGAACTGCAGGGGGGAGGCGGTCAAGAGACAAGCTAGCCTCAGCTTCCTCCCGAACTCACAGAAGGCACCAACACATTACAGCTGAGGACAAACTTGCAACTCATCTCTTCTCTAGCACCACCTCCACGTCTTAGACCAAAGCTTGCCTTTCTTTATGCCGTTGGTTTATAAAGTAGATTATAAAGTCAGGGCCCTATCTTTTTGGGACAGCTCTGAGCACGTGCATTAGCCACAATAATTCATCAGCCGTAGTTAAAGAGCTCACAGGCCACAACCAGAGGCCCCGCTTCCTATTAAAGCCCCACCGTGGGAGGGGAGAAACTCACTGACCACAAGGACCTTCCAGAGCAAAAGGAGGACCTTCTTCATGGGGAAATGGGGAGAGTGCTCGCTGCAGAATTTGGTCACCATCGTGAAAAGCAAGAGTCCAAACGGTTCTTCACTGTGGATCGGATAACCTGCAAGGAGAGTTTTCAAAAGTCGGATAAGGGAGGGGGATGCGAGAACTTGAGCTGGGGGCTGCGATCAGCCGTCCGGCTAAGCTCAGCTCGGTCTCCAACTCAGAGGCTTCAAACCAGTAATCCGAGCAGAACATGGGGGGCCCATCAAACAAGAGCAATGTTATCCCCAATTATTCCGTGTGCCATCGGAGTTTGCAAATGGTAGGAACAAGAGCTAAGAACTAAAAAAAAAGAGAGCAAAGTCCTTGTCATTACAGTATGGCCAAATATGTGAAACTATCAGCTGCCTCCCAACGTGACACACGCCCAGGGCTACCGTTTGAAGGGTGGTGAGTCTGTATCCAAAGGGCAGCTGTCCAAACTTCTTGGACCCGTGGGCACTGGGGGCATTTTGGAAAGGTGGCACAAAGACTCTCACAAAGCAGAGGGCATCCTGTTACGGCGTGTGCCCCATCCCCAAACCCCACAAGGTTTGCCTTTCCCACCTTGCTCTGAGCCCCCCGAGATCCATCCAACCCTCCCCGTCTACCTTCATGTTGCTTCTCAACAGGCAGCCCCATTTCCAAGCTAAGCACCAGTTCGCGGCTGCCATAAAAATGTCTAAAAAGAAACAGGCAGCCAGTTCCTTGGTTCGTTTCCTAATGCCAACAGGCTCGTTTGAAAATAAACCCAGTGCTGGGCCATGCCAGCTTTCTTTTCCTGGTAATTCCAAGAACCTTAAAGAAGTGAAAATTGAATCTTCTTTCCATTTCCACCTTGGTCAAGGAGCTGCACATTGACCAAGGTGGACAGGCACCACCTTGGGTGCTCCAAGGGCCCCTGGAGAGGCACAAGGATGAGTGTGTGTGTGTATTGCCATAACCTACTAAGCTCAGCCCTGAACATCTCTCGGGACGCTGTCCACTTCGGTGAGTCAGTCTCCATTTCCACCCGGACGTTTTCCACCATCAGGTACATGACGCTCAATATCACCCTGCAAGTAAAACCAAAACAAGCTATTTTGACTCAGTGGAACCAAGCGAGGAATAGTTTTGGCTGAAAGTTTTGCTCAGAAGGATTCAGATGACTCCAGTCCATGGGGTGCTTCACTCTAACCCAGATTTCATCCTCCTCATGGCTATTAAAGCTTAAATACAAAACAAGTGAGAATTCTTATCCGAAGATGGCACATCGCATCCATTTTGGCCCTACACCTCTGGTGCTACATCCTTTCTTTCTTCTTGGGTCACTTGCTCGAGCCATCTCATTTTCTCTACGGGTAGTTTGCCCTTTTCTTGTCCAAGGAGATGGAATGGGTTGGCTGTGCAGGTAGCAAGTGTTTTCATGTTCTTGTTCTACTGATTTTGTTGTGAGACACCTAGGATTACTGTACAAGATAGGTGGCCACATGAGTCTTATAAATTAATAAATGGCCAAGGAACAGTCAGTTTCAAATAATTTCCAGCTCTATCCTACTCTTGTTCCAAGAAAAGCAGGCTGCTTAAAGCAACTACTTGCTTTCCAGGCAACTTCTGGGGAAGATCTTGGTCTTCAAAACTAAAGGGAAGAATCACAGAATAAGTCACTCGGAATAACTCACCTGAGTTCGGTGCTATCAGCCAGAGATATAGCCGGCTTCCTCAGGGCACTGCTGCGTGCCTCACTGTTGCTAAAATAAAAAAAGGGGAAAGACAGTCAGATGTTGTTGGCCTCTTCCTTTCCAAGCAGCTGGAAAAAAAATCACTGGCCGTGAACTGGCTGCGGACAGAAGATTTGTAAGAGCAGAACGTGGCAAGGGAATCCATTTCAGGTTAGGCTTCAGCCTTAGCCAATGGGGTGATGATCAAAAATGTGTTTTTTCCCCCCACCCTTGGGCCACCTAGCCTTCAAGAGGTCTAGCCTTATGGAACAGAACGCGCAGATCTCTTCTTCTAAGATTTTTCTCCAAGTCCCGCTGCAGAGAGAGACGTGGTCTTTCTTGCATCTCCAACAGGTCTCCAAATGTTTGGTAATTTTATCTTCAATAGCAGTTCCCGCTATCTTCCCCCAAACAGATGTTAAGCTGACAGGCCTATAATTTTCTGGATCTCCCCTTCTTAAAAGTGGGAGTTACACTGACCACCTCCTAGTCCTCAACTACAAAGACCGAGTGTAGAGGAAGATTTGAAGGTCCACCGTCTCGGCTTTAGGCTCCTTCATAACCCTTGGGTGGATGTCATTAGGGCCTGGTGATTGATAGTTTTATGCTCCGTTTCTATTTTATCTTACGTTTTATACTGTTTTGCTGTATTTTACTCCATTCTCCCCTTTCTCCAGTTTTTAAGTCTTAATGTTTTTGGTTTTACATGACGGTTGTATTGTCTCTGCTGTGCTTGGTCATTGTTTCTGAGGCTTGGAGGGAGGGGGCTGGTCACTGAACACAATGAAATAATCCGGTGGCTTTGTGCCACGGCAAGCAGAACGAGCGGACGAAGGAATAGCTGGGAAAGTAAGGTGCGTACTTCAGAGAAAGAAACACTCCGCTGTTTTCTAGATTTTAAAGTCCTGAGTGCTTATTTTTTATTTATTTATTTATTTATTGTTAAACTTGTATGCCGCCCATCTCCCCCAACGGGTGACTCTTGGTGGCTCACGATAATAAAAAGGAAAAAACACCAATCCCTCCAACAATGGCTAAAATCCATAAATAATTAAAAATAGAAACATGCATTAAAAATATCCTAAAACCCCCCTATAAATTTTAGCCCTAAAACCT